AGCACCCTCGGACACCTTTGACGCACCCCGTCAGCGTCATCCTCGACTTCGCTGAGGAGAGGGGTCTGGTGGAGCGAGATTCTCACGCACCCCCGGAGGTATATGCCATCAATCCAAATTACCCCTACTGTCGCTTCCACCGACATCAAGGGCACAAAACCGATGATTGTCATCAGCAAAAGACAGCCATCGAGAGGTTAATACAGGCGGGCCATCTGTCCCAGTTTGTCCAAGGCCCTCAGCAACAGGGTCCTCCCTACCAAGGGCCACCCCGATGGCGCTCAGCGAAAGCAAACGCTTGGGTTAACCCAAACACCATCCCCCTCGGCAAGAAGAGGGAGATCGGGAATTTGGAAGAGGAAGAAGAAGAGTGCCCCCACGGCCTGGAGAAGAAGCGCCACATCCTCATGATCACCGGTGGCAATACAGGGGGGCTCCACCAGCCAATGGAAGAAGTGGGCTCAATCGCTATACGTGGGGGAAGTCACTCATATGCCCCCGGTAAAGCGACTGAGGGAGGAGCCCATCACATTCACGAACGCCGATCTCCCCTCTGCTTCCTCTCCACACAGGGATGCCCTCGTCATCCGTACGGAGATCAATGATACTATCATCCACACAATTTACGTTGACACGGACAGCTCTGTCAATGTAATGTACCTCAGCACCTTCGGAGAGCTGCATCTGGAGAGGGGGTCTCTTCGGCCAATCAAGACCCCTTTTGCCGGCTTCACCGGCGACACCATTGATTCCGAAGGGGTCATAACCCTTCCGGTACTATTTGGCGACGGACTCCATAGAGCCAAGCTCGAAGTGGAGTTCGTCATCGTCAACATCAATTGCACCCACAACATCATCCTCGGCTGACCAGCCCTCGAGGATCTCGAAGTCATCATCTCCATGAGGCACCTTTGCCTCAAGTTCTCAGCCGAAGGGGGGCATCGGCTACTTGAGGGGAAATCAGAAGCTCGCCCGCGCTTGCTACCTCCAAGTGACGAAGAAGGTTAGCAAAACTGAGTTCCGTGTTGACACCATCACCGGGGCTATTGAAGAGGAGGAGAAGAGGCTGAGGGCTGAACCGGCCGAGGACGTAGAAGACTTTGCGCTCGATCCGGCCAAGCCGGAGAGAGTCGTGAAGATTGGAGCCCAACTCCCCGAAGACTTGAAGACCGGCATCATCAACGCCTTCCGCGCCTACTCCATTGTTTTTGCATGGGGGCGGAGGACATGCCGGGGATCAACCGAAGGGTCATCACCCACCGCCTCTCGGTGGACCCTTCGGCTAAACCAGTACAACAACGGAGAAGACCCATCTCGGCCAAGAGGAGGGAATTTGTGAAGAAGGAGGTCGCCATGCTCCTCTCTATTAAGCACATCAAGGAGGTGAAATACCCCTCATGGCTAGCAAACGTAGTCCTCGCATAAAAGCCTCTCACCTTCCGCACGTGCGTTGACTACACGGACCTCAACAAGGCGTGCCCCATGGACCCCTTCCCTTTACCAAACATTGATCAGTTGGTAGATGAGACTGCGGGGTGCGAAATCATGTCCTTCCTCGATGCCTTCCGAGGCTATCACCAAATTTTCATGCACGAGGAAGACGCCGAAAAAACAGCCTTCATGACTCTCGAGGGCATCTTCTGCTACCTGGTGATGGCCTTCTGCCTGAAAAACTCAGGGCCACTTACACCTGGATGGTGGCCAGGGTATTTCGGGCCGTCCTTGGGCGCACCATGGAGGCATATGTTGATGACATGATCGTCAAAAGCAAGCAATCAACAAGCCACACTGACGACCTCAAGGAGATCTTCGCCATCATGCAGAAGTTCAACCTTCGGCTAAACCCGAAGAAGTGCACCTTCGCGTGCAAGGAGGCAAATTCTTAGGCTACATGGTGAGCCGAAGGGGTATCGAGGTCAACCCCGAGAAAATTCAGGCCATTATCAACATGGAGCCCCCACGCAGCGTGAAGGAGGTCCAACGGTTGACGGGCTGCCTGGCAGCCCTCAACCGCTTCCTGTCGAAATCAGCGGAGAATCCCTTACCCTTCTTCCAGATCATGAGGAAAACCGTCGGCTTCCAATGGACTTCAGAATGCAAGGAGGCTTTCGACGAACTGAAACGGTATTTATCTTCACCCCCTGTGCTCTCCAAACCCAAGGTAGGGGAAACCCTATACCTTTACCTTGGTGTTAGCCCGGCGGCCATCATCTCAGTACTCATCCGGGAAGAAGATGGCGTCCAACATGCCATCTTCTATGTCAGCAAGACCCTCAGGGAAGCAGAACTCAGATATTCACCTGTGGAAAAGGCGGTGTTGGCTATCATTTGGACCGTCAAGAAGTTAGGCCACTACTTCCAAGCTCACCCGGTCCAGGTCCTCACTCACCAACCCCTCGGTGCTTTGATGAGGAGCCCCACCAGCTCCTCCCGAATGGTAAAATGGGCTATCTTCCTAAGCCAATACAACATCGATATCCGTCCGAGGCCCGCCATCAAGGGCCAAGCCCTAGCGGACTTCGTGACGGAATGCACGGCAAGAACGGCCACGGACGAGGAGCCCTTGGCTCCCTCGGACGATTGGTGGATTCTCTACACTGACGGCTCCTCCGCTATCAAAGCATGTGGAGGAGGGGTGGTTCTCATCTCATCCGAAGGCTTCCGGGCATATTATGCAATCCGCTTCTCCTTCAAGGTCTCCAACAACGAAGCCGAATACGTGGCCCTCCTCTGTGGCCTTCGGCTGACAGCTAACATGAAGGCCCGATAGATCCACGTCAAGTACGACTCCAAGTTAGTCGTCGGCCAAATTTCCGGGGAGTACGAAGCCAAGGAAGGAAGAATGAAGCAGTACAAAGAAGCGGCCAAGGAGTTGCTTAAGGTATTTGAGGCACACTCTCTTACTCAAATACCGATGGCTCAAAACTCCGAGGCCGACATTTTATTGAAGCTCTCAGCCGAATCCCCTGAGCATATCTCTAAGATTGACAAAATCGAGGAGCTCAGCCTTTCCAGCATACATGCTAGCCCCGTCATGCACATAAAATGAAGGCAAGAGGACTGAATCTCAGATATTATCGCCTTCACCACCACAGGGCAACTGCCCGAGGATGAGGCCCGTGTCAAGCTAGCAAAGCTGAGGGCTCCCCAGCTACATAATCAAGGACGGAAGGCTTTACAAAAGATCATACAACGGAACGCTACTTCGGTGCCTTCATCAAGATGAAGTCGAGGTTGCGATGGAGGAGGTGCACAGTGGCACTTGCTCAGCTCACCAGAGACCCTTCTCCATGTCCCGAAGCTCACAATCCAAGGCTACTTTTGGCCTACAATGGTCCGGAATTGTGCGGATCTCGCTCGAAGGTGTACCGCATGCCAATACTTCCAGAAAGCCCCCGGCAGGCCAGCGGTCAACTATGCCCCCATTAGCACATCCATACCCTTCGCTCGATGGGGCATAGACCTCGTGGGCCCTCTGCCGAGGGGTACCTCCAACAACAGGTACATCATTGTCACCATTGACTACTTCACCAAGTGGGTGGATGCTGAGCCCCTCGCAAGCATCACCGAAGCCAGATGCCGTTATTTTGTTCTCAAGAACATCCCCACAAGGTTTGGCGTCCCCCAGCAAATCCTCTCCAACAACGGGACTCAATTTGAGGCAGCCCCTTATGTGCCCTCCTAGAGGTATGGGGCATCAAACACACCTTCTCCTCCATTGCCTACCCTCAGGGCAACAGCCAAGTAGAGAACGCCAATCGGATCTTGCTCGAGGGCCTAAAAAAGAAGCTAGAGGCCGAAGGGAGAGGCTAGGTAGAACAACTCCATAACATCTTATGGGCCTACCGCACCACCCCTCGGAGGGCAACAGGTGAAACACCCTTCTCCCTTTGCTATGGGTTTGAGGCTAAAGCTCTACGGAGGTGACCCTTCCTACCCGAAGGGTGATCCAATATGACCCCGAAGTCAACGACGCCAACATAGCCCTCGACCTCCACCTCATTTCAGAACGCCGAGAGCAAGCCTTCGTGCGAGCGGAAAACTACCAAAGGCAAGTCAAAAGCTACATCGATGCCAAGGTTCGCTCTCGAGATTTTCAAGTGGGAGACTATGTCCTCCGAAGGAGGGAAGCTAGCCAACCAACCGAGGGAGGCAAAATGGCACCAAAATTTGAGGGCCCGTACATCATTGCAGCCGTCATCAAACCAGGGACTTACAAACTCAAACGCCCCAACGCGACCGAGGTCCCTAGGTATTGGAATACACATCACTTACCACAGTTCAACTTCTTGGCCCGTACATCATTTCAACTTCTTGGCCGGGGGCTCGGTCCCCTTACCACAGTTCTTTATCTTCGTGGCCCCAGCACCTTTGGACCCCCCGACACCAGCACCGGCAGCAGCAGCTTGGGAGGACTCCTCCCTGGCGGAAGCGCCCACTGGACCCTTCTTCTTCCCTTTGGCGTTCTTCAGGGCGAAGAGAGAGCTCACGTCCATATTGTTACCTGCAAAGATAAGACACACAATGATTAGGCCGAAGGGTGTCAATTACAATGACGTGGATTGAACAAAAAAATGAAGAAAAATTCTCTAAGTACAAAACGCATAAACCTTCGATAATCACCTGTGGCTCCCTCGAATACGCGATCTATCGGAGGGTATCTTTCATCCAACGAGCCCCTTGGCCGATACTGCTGGAAGCCAAGCTTGAAAAGTTCGTCCGGGAGAGTAACGTCTTTGATTTTCACATGCTTGTCGGACCCCTCCGGTTTCTTGGCGAGTATCCTGCTGTTCTTCTCCAGGGCCGCACTCCCTACCTTCGGATGACGCCGAAAGCTATTGCGGAGCGGAGCCAGAAAAGGGTTCTCCTCCAGGCGTATGTTACAGTACCTATCCTTCCATCCTTTGTGGGACGAAGGCACGTCATTTGATTCTCCCAAACAAGATAAAATTATATTTAACACTCACACTTACCTTCACTGGGTCTCTTACTAACGGTTACTAACACTTACTAACGGTTAGTAATCACTCCCATTACTAACCCTTTCCGAACACTCCCTCCAAACAAATCCGAAATCGGATCGCAGAAGCTATCGTCTTTTTCCATCTACCATCGATCGTTTTTTCGTGGCCCCAGAGCAAAACAGAAGCTTCCTCCAGCCTCCTTTATATCTCTCTGTCTTCTCCGTCTCTGTGTCGCACGTCCGCAGTTCATCTTGGATCGAGAGGCCCTTGCTGCGCACACAGCCCTAGTCCAATTTTCAGTGGATATTGATCGATTCCCAGGAGCTATTCATCCAGGTATTTCCTTGTATGATTGGATTATATGTCCTAAATAAGCATCAATCGGTTTTGTTGTTGTTATTACAAAATCTGCTCTCTCGGAATATATATACTCCGTATTATTTATCAATAATTCGATACATTAATGGATAAGCACGGCTTTTATGCAAAGTCACTTTTACAATGCGTTAAAAGCTCCTAAAGAGCGACCAATTCAAATCCTATGAATTTTCATAAACTTCGGTGTGTTGAGGCTGAGTCCGCCCAGCATCACCTCGTTCATACATTACAGGTTTTTCCATTTCAGAGTTGCGAGATTATTGTCCTCCTAAGCATTGATAAACATGATTTTAATTGGTTATTTACATCTGCTCTTGTCTGATTCTTGTTGTTGTTTTAACAAATACTTAGTTACAATTGGTTAATTAAACACAATTGTTATTCTTGAATGTTCAACTTCCTCCATGGTTGAAATCTAGAAAGTCCTTAATTCTGACATCATAACCGTCAATGATGTATAACATCAAATTAAAAGCATATTGAACTCAACGTGCAAATGTTAACCAGCCTTCAGAAAAGCAAAATAGCTGTAGTCCATCACTCTTCTAAATGACAGATTGTTTCTTTTTAAAACGGCAAAAGCTGTGTATTGTGCTTCCATAGCTTCTTGAGTTTTTGGTTTAAGATTTTATTTAAGCTAGAAACACATGATCATCAAAGTCAACAGTAATATGCTTTGTTTTTCTAGAAAATATGTGAGCTAAAGTTTTAGAAAACTCCTCCATCTTATCTACCGAGGTTAGACAAATCTTCTTTTTATTTTTTCTGATGGGATTCATTTACTCATTCTTCTTGTTCATAGCTTGCTGAATGGATATTTCTTTTTCGTTTGCTGAATGGATATATAAAAACATACTAAGAACTTCTTTCTGGATCAATTAGGATTCAAGCGTCTTGGGAAGCATCAGAGTTTTTTTTAAACAAATCTTTCGTTGCATATTATTCAGTATGCTAGTGAAGAGTGGGTTGAATGTCATACTACATTTGTTTTGGCAGAATTAGTGATGAGTTGAGATTGATTTATATGCACTATATGACAAATTGATTATATATGTGTGTGTGTTAATTGTCTAGGACTTTTAAAACTCATCATAGCTTATGCGTCCATCCTGTATACTCTCTCCGTCCCATAAAATTGTACCCATTTGGATTTGGATTGGAGTTTAAGAAAGTGAGAATAAAGTGGAAATGTATGGTCTTAGTTTAGTAAGAAAAAGGTAGATGAATGGTAGCCACATAAAACTTTCCAAAAAGGGAAATGCGACCTATTTTTTGGGACGGCCCAAAAAGGAAAGCGGGTACTATTTTATGGGACGGATGGAGTATAATAAAACAACAAACTTAGACTCTTCGGTGCCAAAAGTGACTTATTCTGCTTTTCAGCAGGATGCGTACTTCTTTGGCCAAAATGTGCGTTACCATGCGTTAATTGTGAACATTTTACTCAAATCGGTGAAGACAATCACTTTGACATTAACGACATTAAGTAGTCAAATATCCGTTACAAAAAGACATTCACTCATCCATTCAATGACATTTTTTTTTAAAATTCGGCTAAAATATAACATGAATAAATATGATTAATGAATTTAATATTCAAGCGTTTTTTTTATCGTATCTTTGATTGATAGTCGTTTAACATTAAAGTTTTCTTTAAGAAATTTTATTAATTGCACGATTTCATTATATAATATGTGAAAATAAAATAATATTATTTTCTTTATACTTATCACTATGTCAAATCTTGAATTCACCGCACTGGACATCAGTGGAAAAAACTATTTGTCATGGATACTAGATGCTGAAATTCACCTAGATGCCAAGAGCTTAGGTGATACCATAAAAATTGGGAATACCGCATCAAAACAAAACAGAGCCCAAACCATGTTTTTTCTGAGGCACCATCTCCATGAAGATCTAAAATCTGAGTGTTTAACTGAGAGAGACCCCCTAGAACTATGGGAAAACCTTAAACAAAGGTATAATCATCAGAAAACAATCATACTCCCTGCGGCCCGTTATGAATGGACCCATTTAAGGTTCCAAGACTTTAAGTCTGTGGTTGATTATAATTCAGCAATGTATAGAATTACTTCTCAGCTAAGGCTACGTGGAGAGAAAATAACTGATGATGAAATGCTTGAGAAAACATACTCCACCTTTCATCCATCAAACATTGTTCTGTCTCAACATCACAGACAAAAGGGGTATACAAACTACTTTGACTTGATGAATCAGTTACTTGTTGCTGAAAAAATAATGAGTTGATCCTGAAGAATCATCAAACTCGCCCCACTGGTTCTACCCCTGCGCCATTCCCTGAAGCGAATGCGATGACTAATAATAATAACAATAAGAAAGAAAGAAGCCACGCTAGCAGTCGGGGGCATGGGCGAGGTCGCGGTAGGGGGAGTTACCGTGGCAATCGTGGTGGTCACACTCATCGATGTGATTATAGAGGTGGTTGGGTCACTCACTTCAAGGGCTCATCTCGCCACCAGAAGTGGCAGAAAAATGAGAATTATGGTAAAGGTGGTCCTCAAAAGACGTAAAATAGATGTTTTCGATGCGGAGCAAGAAACCATTAGTCCTCAAAATAAATGTTTATTCCTTTGCTACATTTTTAGTTTCCAAAAATATACTTAATTTAAATATAATTATTTTATTTTATATACATAGACGTACAAATATACATTTGTAGTGCTTAATTGTCACCTATTTTAGATATTGAAACATAATTTTAAGGCAAAACAGATTTTTAGACATATTGTTGCATATTTTTAGATAGATATATAGGAAAATTCTCAGGTCCAGCACCTCCCGGTCCGAACGCCGTCTGAACATCGTCGTTTGGGGCAGTTCCCGGAGGAATTTTTTGATGATTTTTTTTGAGCATGTTTCTCATCAAGTCTAGTTTATCCATACCAAATTTCAGCTCAAAATTCGATCGGGAAGACAGTCAAATAATTCATTGAAGTTAACTGTGTTTTTCTATGTATAATTTGGCGTAGTTAACTTCAACAAATTATTTGACTGCCTTTCTGATCGAATTTTGAGCTGAAATTTGGTATGGATAAACTAGACTTGATGAAGAACATGCTCAAAAAATTTCATTAAAAAATTCAGTCGGGAACTGCCTCAAACGGCGGTGTTCAGACGGCGTTCGGACAGAAAAGTGCTGGACAGGAGAATGACTTTCTCTCTCTATATATATAGGAAAATTCTCAAGTCCAGCACCCCCGGTCCGAACGCCGTCCGAACACCGACGTTTGGGGCGGTTTCCGGTAGACTTTTTTGATGAATTTTTTTGTGCATGTTCCTCATCAAGTTTAGTTTATCCATTCCAAATTTCAGCTCAA